ACTGGAGCGATGCGTAATCATATTCAATACAGGCACGTAGGCGTTAGCTTAGAGCAGTGGTTCTCAACCCGCGGGCCGAGACGCTCAGGCCCTAGCCCGGCCGTGTCCGACAGCTTATCAGAATTACCTTTTTGTCTTTTTTTCCCCCTTCTCCCAAAACAGCTTATACTACTTTTTCAGCTATATTAAAATAGTTCAGTTTTGGTAATCCGTAAAGATGCAATTCTCTCTAAAGGTGCGTCAATGAGATCCTCAATTTCATCTTTGTGACTCTGACTCAGAAAACACAATAAATACTTCAAATATCTCCTTACTATTTCCCCCAGACATATTCATGGTAATTACTTTTGCCGGTTCTATGCGGCAAGCTTAAGCCTATTGCGTGCATTTGAACGCAGATCTCTTCAGCTGCGTTGACGGCACGCATGCTGCTGCTGCGGGACACTGTCGAGCTGCTCTTGACAAAACATATTCTGTTACACCAAATACACAAAATAATGATCTTTAAAAAAGCATCATATGACCCCTTTAACAATAGAGTAACTTGTTATGTAACAACTTGCACAAAATGTAAGATTGTATTGAAATGACTGGGTGTGGTGAGACAAAAAACAAAAAACAAACAAACAAAAAAAAACTTAGATGCTCATTACAGAAATCTTTCTCCTTAAAGGCACAATATGCAAGTTTTCGCCGCTAGAGGTCGCATTTTCAAAACAATAACAAAGGCGAAGCTTGTTGATGCTATGAAGGAGAGTGGAACGATGGGAAATGTCATTTTCACCATCCAGAGATGTCCGAATCATGTTCACGGATAGAATTAATTATTTTTTTAATGACCTGTACCTTCCAAAGTTATTCAAACAGCGAATAAATTATATAGAGAAAGCGAGCAAAGAACATTTAACGTTACATTGTCAAAGAACAGTATGGCTGACTTCAGTCTAGCGCGGGTTTAAGCACTCTCAAAAAACTCCCCTTATCAGAAAAGCTGTCTATACACTGTTTGATGACTGAATCTCCTACTTACATCATACGTACATATGCACTTTGTTGTTTATGATGAGAGAATACACTCAGCGAGCGCGCGCACTGAACAAAACTCTGGTGTTTCAGTGATGACTCATCTAAACGCCTCTGATTGGCCGCTGTGTTCATAAACTCAACAGACTTGTGTGTGATTGGTTATAACGCGCAACACTGTAAAAACGCGGAAAAACATTCATGGTGAAACATTGAGCAGACCTAAATTGAATGCTGCAGTCAACACTTATTTCATTTTCATTTTATTTGTGACTGCCGTAATGGATTTAGTTTAACTGCAGCAGCATTTTTGTGTTGTTGCCATAGTTTCTACAAGCGGAAACCGATAGCGCGGATATTACGTAATTGATAGGCAACAATGAACCGGGACGGGCCATTATTTAAAATTGGAATTTCTCTGGATTTACAAATCCTTTGGAACTTTTGGGATAACGTAAGTGCACAACTGCATGAAATATATAATGTGCAAGTGGTTTTTGGATATTTTATTATGAAAATCTTACATAGTGTGCCTTTAATTGTCATGAAAACACCCATAACGTGAAACAAATCTTACTCACCCATTACAAGTGCTACACAGAACATTGGGGGGAAAAAAAAAAAAAAAAAAAAAAAAAAAAAAAGTGTAAACTCTTCCAGAATATCATGATGCAACCCCAAATAAAACCATAGTGACATTTAAAGCTTCTTAAGAAGACGCTATACATGTGCTAGGCAACAATGAGAGGATCAGGAAAGAAAAGAGGTCAATGTGACCGCTAAAGGACAGCAGAAATCAGCATTTTTACACACATCTCTTTAGAAGTGGAAGCCTTGTGATTTGACTTACTTCAGGGGGTGGACCATATCTTCCCCTCTCCGCCGCCCTCCGTTCCTGCTCCGACCCTGTCCACCCATGAAGCCGAAGAGACCGCCGCCAAAGATATGGGAAAAGATGTCATCCATCCCGCCTCCTCCACAGCCACCTTCTCGCAAACCCTGTTCCCCATAACGGTCGTACAAATCCTTCTTCTCTGGGTTAGTTAGTACTTCATAAGCAAAGCTAATCTCTTTGAACTGAAAAAAGAAAAAAAAAAAAAAGAGCATTACAGCATTAAATGGATTGTTCACCCATAAATGAAAATTGTAATTTACTCACCCTCATGTTGTTAAAGATAAATAAAATTCATTCATCTTTGAAACACAAGTCATTTTAACGAAACTGATTCCAGTCCACCAAAACTTTGATGCTTCAAAAAATTAAAGGCAAGAAAATAATAGGAATCTAGTGATTTGTTCTTGTGCATCAAGCATGTTTAACATTTGATGTGCTCCATGTATGTGCGTCAGTCAATATTTATATGCGAATAAAAGACTAAATTAAATCCGTTCATCATATACAGTAATTGGGTCAAAAAATTGGGTTAAACCGCTTGCTTCATATGGGTTACTTTTATGAGCTAATTATGAACTTTTGAAGTGTCTGTTTTGGTGGAACTCACTTTAAAATGTAGAGAAAGAAATATCTCAGGTTTCATTAAAAATATATTTATTGGTATTTTGAAGATAAATGAAAGTCTTAATGGTTTGGAAGGGTGAGTAAAGGACAATTTTGCGAGTGACCTATTCCTTATAACACTAATATAACAACTAATACTTTAAAAGCATAATATTCGTAAAATCTTTTGCATATTACAATTTAACTCAAATGTGTACAAAATGATCAATCTCTCCACAACATACTTATTTAACAGTGTTTTAACTTTCTACACGTCTTACATCAAAATACTCCACATTTTATTAAGTAATAATAAAATGATCTTACTTTATCTCCAGCATTTGGTAATACTTTAAAAGCATAATATTCGTAAAATCTTTTGCATATTACAATTTAACTCAAATGTGTACAAAATGATCAATCTCTCCACAACATACTTATTTAACAGTGTTTTAACTTTCTACACGTCTTACATCAAAATACTCCACATTTAGACAGAAGTAATAATAAAATGATCTTACTTTATCTCCAGCATTTGGGTTTTTGTCAGGGTGATATTCCTTTGCTAATTTCCGATAAGCCTGAAAAGTATTTGTTTTAGAAAGTTAGTTTCACTTCAGAAAGCATCCAACACAATAAAACAACATTCCACATTTAAACCACTGATTTAACAAAATGAACTTGCTTAAATGTAAAACGAGTTACACCTGCCTGAATATTCCAGCAAATATCTCGAGATTTTAACATGATTTGAGAATGACACTAAAGCAGTTTGTTTGTGCGTCATGTTCATGTGAGGCCAAGCGGCCTTGAGCAACGCAACTAATGAGAACACAAAACAACACAAGCTAGTGAGACACTAAACCGATCATTTCCAACAGTTCAACGAGCTTTCAGACAGAAACCCCTCTGCGCTAAACACAGCGTTGCTGACCGCGATTATCAAAGAACAGAAAAAATTATCCACCGGTCCATCGTATGCGTCAGATTAGTTTTAGCTTGTTTCAAATTCGTTGTACATGTGACCTCCTTGGCAATATGACACACATGTAAAGGGAAAAGCACCGCGTCAAGGCCTAACGTACACAGCGGCCACACGGCGAGCTGATGCTGTGTTTTCAGGCGCTACACAGGAAGACAAGCATGATGACTGACTGCGTTTAATGTTCAAGTCCAAGGCATAAATCAAACACATACACGGGTGAGTGGATATGTAAAGAGACCGAAGATATGCTTGATTGAATCCCACAACAACACTCCATCTCGCCGGTTTAGTTCGACGATCTGGTAACTATAGTCACTAGGCCAAACTCAGCTTTAGCTCACTGCTAATCCTCCTCTCTTCCCGATTCAACACACAAAAATCGGTCGATTCAGTCCTTCAAACAGCGCTAACGAGCGCCGAAATTAAAGGCAAGACACATGAACCCGTACCTTTTTCAGCTCGTTTTCGGAGGCAGAGGGGGAGACCCCAAGAATGTCGTATAGTTTGGTATCGGCGACGTTGGACATGGCTGTGCGGAGTGAAGGACTGTCTGCGGGGAGCGGAGAGCTGAAGAGAGACACCGGCCGGAAGCGTCAACTTTAACCTCTCCTCACGCGCCGCCTCTCAACGTACGAGCACATGTCATCGTGATGCAAATATTACACACACACATCCTTCATATTAACATTCAGCAACTTACTTTTGACGAATGGCGTTTAAATACATTGTTGCCAACTCTCGCGAGACAAATAAGCAACCGCAGCTTCAAAAACAAGCCCAAAATGTTTTGATCATTTATTATTATATCATCAATATAATTTATTATCAATAATAATTTATTATGTAATAATTTATTATTATGCAGGAACAAAACTCATCTCCAATCACCTGTGAGCAGAATAGGATTGGACAGAAAAGGAGAAAAACACAAGCGCTTCAAAGGGGAGCTGTTACATAGCCACATATTTATAGCCTACTAAAATATTGGCTATTCGAACCAAATCTACTCTTAGTTATAGGCCTACTTGTTTTTTGTTGTTTGTTTTTTTTACAGCCCGTCATAATTAATACATTACAAAAACATTGTAAATATTAAAAATTAGGCTACCTTATAAAGAAAAAACTCTACGTCTACTTCTATCATCGCTTGGATTACAGCGTCACGCGCCTTCTTTTTCAACGTGATTTTTCTTTAATCCCTCACTGAAGAAAAATCACGTTCAAAAAGAAGGCGCGTGCGGAGGAGGCGGAATATTTGACAAATTACGCTACAGCACTTATATTTTTGCACTGATTGGCTATTAACTGTGAGCAGACAGAGTGTCAATCAATGCATTGGAGAATACAGTGAACATAAATGAAAAGAAACGAAGTTGCTTGTCAGGTTTTCCTAACAAGCAACCATATTTTTTTAAATAAACCCAAAAAACCACAACCCGGTATTTTTTCACGCAACTTTACAAAAAAGAAGCACAAAGTCGCGTATAATACGCGGACTTGGCGACTCTGTTTAAATAATGCGATAAATGGGCATTTATATAATATACCCAGCCAAAACTATTGCGTGTGTATGCACAACTGTGAAATATGCTGCTTCGCTTGTGTGTAAAATGTCACGATTTCAGAAATGCAAAATACTTCAGAGGTCGAATGTCATTGAAAGCTAACTTTACAGTTTACAATCTACAATTTAAAAGCGGGGAAAATAAGATTTTAAATGGTTTTTAATGGTTGTGGAACCCAGGTGTCAAATGTTGGTCAAAGGTCAAACTGACTGGTTTTGATCGGTTTTGATACATAAAAGAACCAGTAACCATTGCAAACACAACAGCAAATGGGTCAAAACAGTATATTATAATAAAAAAATTATGACTTTCATAAATATTTCTAATTGCATTTAATGTTTTCATTTTTGATGTACAATTACAACTTTTTTTTTTAAATGTTATTTTATGTTTGTGCTTTTGGACATGAATCTTTATCAATCCTAATTAAGCTTGTGATGTTGCAATTTAGGCTCATTTTTAGCAAATGATGTGCTTTCTTCAATTTTGAATCTTTTCACATTACATTTAAACAGTAAAATGATGTAAGCCTAAACAATCCATGAAATAATCTTCATTATATAGTCCACCCTGGCCCTACATGTTCCAGAATGAAAATGAAATGAAAATGATTTGATTTTACAGCGAGACATCGATTGAGATCCGTGTACTTTTGGCTTGTCGTAACAGACAGAGCAGGTGCTCAAATGAAGAAGACTGTCGTGATTATATGAAGTGAAGTCCATCCCCCGCATGTGGCCTACATCGCGTCCAAACCAGACACGGTACGTTTCCAGCGACCTGACAATCACAGCTAATCAGAACATATTTGATGTTTTAATATGCAATCCGTTGCAATTCATCATGAGCAGAATGAAATGTCATTTACCCGGAATCACCACATGATGGCAGCAAATGACCGTAGTCCGACAAACACCCAAAGGTCATTGCGTTTCTATGTCCACCTTAATATAAGCGAACTTCTAAGGATTAGATCAGAGATTTACGTAAACAGAGTAAAATGTGCTGCTCAAGTGGTAACAAATGAAGAGATATTTTTCATATGCAGGCTGAAATGTGACATCAAACGTTTAAAAATGTTGAATCACAATGATTTATTTATTTATTTTTAAATACATTAATGTGTACCTTGTTTCTAAACATTCTAAAACTTTTAAAGTTGCTCTCAACATCTGGCTGTACATTTCTTATGTATATTTCATATTAATATTTCCCTGCTGTTTGTTTAAATTGTAAGTCATTGTCATCACACTGGGCTTAATGCTTTTACTGACATTTATTCGAACATATCGTGTTTGGTCTCGTTCTGTATCGCGTATCTTGTCAGTGTCTGCGCTTGCTTGGCCATTTGTTGAGGAGAAAATAAGGAAAGTGTGTCCAGCTGAATTAATGTAGTATTTTGTTAGAAGGGTATAAAAAAGCTTAGTTTACCGCGGCAGCCGTCGCGTGAAGGCCTCCTCGTCTGAAGACCGAAGAGTGTAAAGACCATCGACTGAGTGTAAAGGGACACCGGCAAAGGATAAGCATCGCTTTTTATTTCTCCTCTTTCCTATTAACGTTACTTGTTTCGCTTCTGTTTCAGTAGGATTACTGATAAACTACTGTCATTTGAGTTGTATTATTTGTGTTTATTTTAATTTTAGTTACATTATGTATGAATTTATTATGTCTTTTATTAAGTTTTTAGTTTTATTTAATTTGAGTTATTTTAATACTTCAACAAACTAAATGGAAATGAAATAATATATATATTGAATTTATAAGTGTATGTACATATACAGTATATGTATGTGTGTGTGGTTGTACATACATATGTAGTTGTTTTAATACTACAATTGATTGCTTCTGTTGTCCTCATTTGTAAGTCGCTTTGGATAAAAGCATTTAATAAATGACTAAATAAATAAAAAAATAAAAAACATAGAAGTATGTTCCTGTAGCTCAGAGTAGAATATGATGCTAACACTTACAAGGTCATGCATGGGGTTTGATTCCCAGAGAATCATGACCTGATAAAATATATAAACTCTGAATGGAATGTAATAAAAGCATCTACCACATGTGTAAAAGTGAGTTCTTTGAGAGCATAGCAAGACTGACTTGAATTTTGTCACACACACACACACACACACACACACACACACACACACACACACACACACACAGATACATACTCACCTCAATGTTGTTCCAAAACAAGATGAAAAAGTGAAGTGAAAGTGACGTGACATGTGGCCAAGTATGGTGCCGGAGCAGTGGGCAGCCATTTATGCTGCAGTGCCCGGGGAGCAGTTGGGGTTTCGGTGCCTTGCTCAAGGGCACCTCAGTCGTGGTATTGAAGGTGGGAGAGAGCGCTGTACATTCACTCCCCCCACCTACAATCCCTGCCGGTACGAAACTCGAACCCACAACCTTTGGGTTATGAGTCCGACTCTCTAACCATTAGGCCACGACTTCCCCAGGCCAAAGGTTCTTGTGTGCCCCACACAAAGGTTCTTGTGTGCTATATTCCAAGCCATATTTTAGCTTAGAGTGAAATTTCTAAGCAAAGATTGTTGTGAACTGATCATTACATAGAAGACCAACACATTTTTTCTTTGGAATAACATGCTATGACCCATTCACCATACTATGAATCATTCACAGTGGAACCTGAACCTTGTATTAAGAAAACAAATGAGGGCACTTTTCATTTTCAAAATTCATACCGACTTTAACCTCAGTGACAATCACCTAGGGTGGCCGGGCCTCGGGGTCTTATGGAGGCTGTGACCTGCATTGCGTCTGTCCTTTTCAAGACGTATGAGGCCTTGAGTGCTCCCACAGTCTAATTCAACATGACAGATCAGTGAGATGGACACTGGGAGAGGACCAAAGGAAAATAAGTGAACAGAAAATGAAATAACAGTGAAGATGAAAGCGAGGCATGTTCTTAGTGTGTAGACGTGTGCAGTAATGACAATAATAAAATATCATTACTGGTGAGCTTGGCCTGACTGAAGGAAAGTAATGTAGACTCTAATGGAAATAAGAGGAAACATGCATACTGGAGTTTCTGTGGTTCACAAGATGCAAAGATATTGTTGCACATCAAATATACTTCAGGTGGTGTAATTTTATTCAAATGTAATTGGACATCTCTCACATCAACATCTTCACAATTATTCATGTTAAGACTAAAATGGAAGCGCATATATATTGGTTAGAAAATATATTCCTGCTTATTTTTACTTGTTTAACAAAAAGAATCATTTCTATACAAAAGGTGTAAGCATCATTTTACAATTTTCCACACTTTATCTGAAGCTTGTAATGGATTGGTTGAACCTCCAAAACGGTGTGTTTATAGGTTAAAGAACATATAGAGCATGTGCTGTGGTCTTTAATGGCCACTGAGACACAATTATAAGTGCACACAGGGAATTCTCTTAAAACAAAAGCTAAAAAGCAACTCTGAAAAAGCAATGGCAAAATATATAAATCAGGTCTGTGTTTGTGTACTCTGTGGTAATATTTGATCTTGTAACCATTCTTGTTCAAAAGCATGTTCCTCTGAACACCGTGTCCAAAGCAAACACTAAATCCTGTCTGCATGTAAACTATTTTTTTTGCCCTAAGCAGCGATGACCACAGCTGCATATCAGACTTCAAATATGTTCTGATTAGCTGTGATTGTCACATAACATGCCATTTTTGCTTTCAGCGGATGGAAACCTGTCTTATCCTGTCTGGCTTGGGCACAGTGTAAAAAACCTGTTAACACCAAGAACGATAACTAAATAACTATATCAGTATCCACACGTCCATAACATTCTGTTTATAATAAGCACACACTGCAGATGTCGTCTGCCACTTTAAATGCTCAAGCTCTTCAAAGTCTGGTGGATTCTGATTGTCAATGTGTTTATCATTCACCAACTGGAAAAAAATTTTCTAAAAGTGATGCCAACTGATATTATTACCGTTATACACTGTACATTTTTTCCCCCTGAAATTGTAAATAATAGTATGTTTTACAAGAAAATACTTTTAGTCTCTCTACTTCAAAATATCACATTTAATTCAATGTGTTAC